CGTCTCAAACCTGGTCTTGACAACATCCGTATCCGAGAGGCCTGTAGTTGCAACGATGCTGCCCAGGTAAGTGTGCGAGACGACTACATTTATATTTCTTCCATTGGTGTTGAAAGGTGCTTGCTAGCCACAACTTTTCAAACAGGAGATGTCCAGCTAAGTACTAGTAGTTTTCCGACTGGTTAAAAAAATAAGAGATCCATTATCAATTATGCATTATTCAAACTAAGAATAGCATAATGGTGCTAGCTGGATAAATCGTGAAATCTGACCGCTATAAACATAGATTTTCAATTAATCAATCAAAAACTTGGATCATACTCAGCCTATCCTAGTTTAGAAAGAATCACATAGCAAAACCATTCCCATCACAATACATGTGGTCTGTAGTGTTAGTAAAGAAGCTGCTGTGCGTTTGTGGTTCAATAGTAGAATTCTAGCCAGCCGAGCATGCGATCCGGGTTCGATTCTGGAACGACGCAATCCTAAACCTTACTGAATCTACCAGCCGATAACGAGCTGGGAAAGAGGATAAATGCGGTGTGAGAATAGTAACCTCACCGCTAATGAAACATTAAAAGTTGTAAACCGTATGTAACACTTGGAACATAAGGAATAAAACTAAGAAACTGCTAAGGAGGAGGACTAAGACAACAGTATCTGAACATGTTCCAGGCTGTCTAAATCTGAAAGCGTTTAGAAGTGCAATACCCAAGCACGGGATGTGCGTCGGTGGCACAGTGGTTAGACTCTTGCCGACCATGGTCCGGGGTTCGATCCCCTGCCGACGAACACCTGATATCTATGGTCAGCCTGCAAAATTTGGGCAACCGATATCACATGCTGAAAATTCCATACTTGTACCAAAAAGTACTATGTGAAATTAAGCTGTAATCAAAAATAAAATAAAAAAATAATTACACTCAAGATCCTTAAAGCCTTTTCAAATAATCAAGGCACAGATAAAAGCCTGATTACTCTGTTTAACAGACGTTACTACTACCACGAAACGATTTCAAGTCAACCTTTGTATACAAAAATATAGTGTGATTAGCTCAAAACTACCAGGGTAAATAATTTGTTGCGACATTACCTTTACTTGAGTTTTGAATACCAGTCATAAATCATACAACCTGGTCAAATCTCAGGTCGACAAAACGACCTCATAGTTGAGCAAACAATATTCTTTTCGCAACTTCCCTTCGAGGCTGTACAGTCATCAAATACTGTTGTAAATTGTCAGGGGACTGCCTATGAAGTCAGTTAATCATATGAGTTGGTAGCAAAATCTGTGAATTTACACATCCAGCGAAATAAAAAATCACGCATTCTAAAAACAATAGATGATGAGAATCGCTAAGCAGTAAAGGATGACAACAGCACTGAAACAAGAACATTTACAAAGTATTATTTGAAGTAGGGAGTTTGACAGGCAGAAATGGGACGGAAATTAAAAAAACCGAGTTAACATTGATTACAGGATTTCATCATGAGCTGGCATTGGTTAGAGGATCATTGGAAAACCACTAGGGAGTACTGGACAGCTGTTTCGTCCTAGTTTGGGACTCTTCATTACATATACAACCCTGAGGAACCTTCAGAGAAAATCAGTCATACCCAAAGTTACCAGGATACACGAGGAATTCAAAAAATTAACTTCACACTAAGGATATCCTTCAACATATTTTCTAGGATGACAACGACACTTTCGAAATAAAACCATTTTCATATTAATGAAACACAAACTTGGTATATTATGGGCAACAAGAGAAGCATCACAAAAAACCTAATCGTTTGTGAAAGAACTGAGATAGTGATTGGACGCCCAGACCGCAGCAAGCACTTATTACAGGCCCCTATCCAGAACCTCTGACCCAAAGGCAGTGGAGCAGTATTAGGAGCTACATCTCCATGTTTGACAGTGACCGAAACAGGCTCATATGTCATTAGTTCCTTCCGGATTCTGGAGGCCCATGTAACTCATAGGCTCGGAATCAGAATTTCGCAGCTCCCCCTCTACAAACATGGATGTTCATCAGTCCAGTTTTAAGCACCAGACATTCGAATTAGCTCTTCCACTCTTGTGAGGAACCCGGCCATGTGAAGGTACTAAGTAGGACTTATTTGGCAAAGGCTATGCACGCGTTGCAAAATGAGGATATTTCGAGAGGAAAACTAAGATCTAACCAACCGTCGGCCGTACCAGGTCGTTTTCGGGGACAAACTAAGCCATCCACATAAGTGAACAAAACACTAAATCAGACCAGCTCTTGTCAGTGAACGCCATTGTTTAGGGAGATCTGATGCTTACGATCTTATTACTGATCATAGCGTTAAGCAGATCAGATGTTGTGATCTGAATACTTTTGTTTTCTGAGAAAACCACGAGATTTTACCTTGTACTGTGAATCAAACAAAAACAGTTGATATGATCTCAAGTAACCAACTCCAACAGCAACATTCGGTTGCATAAATAACAAGCAGATATCCTCGGATTCAAGATGACTTCTCATGACTACTATTGCTGGAGAACTCCCAGGGAAACGAGTAAGGGGATGGAGTAAAATCATGGTTTGATTTCGTCAATTTTTTTGGCAGAGATATATAATGTGCTAATATATAGTATTCCCAAATTCTAACGATATACATCGAAGCAACAGTTTCATATTGAGATATAAAGTTGTCGATTAGTCCCCTCATTCTTAATTTTTCAATGAGAAGAAGAAAGGATGACAGAGTGAAGAGAGGTACTAATCACAAGGAAACTATTTAAACTACCGTAGTTTCTGTCAAGTGAAATATGAACACAGTTTGACTGAGATTACTTATTGAGAGAATAGAAAAGATTCACTCTGAAGATAAACCGCATGAAGAGTTACACTTTCTAGGAAAGCGTGTGCCTGAAAATGAGTTTATAGAAGGTGGAGAAGAGGTCGTGGTAATGAAAAGACTGTCAGTCTAGTCAAAGAAACGTCTGACCCAATGAACTTTCGTAGACGATGATGTAACACAACAAATGTATAAGAGACTACCTGTTAGTCTTACCAAAACTTATCTGCCTGCTAAATAAACCTATATGTACAGCACTACTTGTGCTCTTTATCAATCGAAAGTGGATAGGAACACATCAGAACTCACCTTCAACTCATATATGCATGCCCAAGCAAGTTCATTTATACACATAGAAATATAAGAATCCACTTGATTCTTTGAACATACTTCTAAAAGCACATGACTTAGTTCGCTGACAGTATAGCCCCTTAATTATCGCCTAATGGATATGGCATGCAAGCTGAATGTACCAACTTTAGTTACGAATGAAAAGTGGCGAAAGGGTCCAATTCGACTTCGTGCTGATGCATCATTTGTTACCAAGCTAATTCAAATCACCCCTTATATACAAAATGACACTTACTAGTCTCAAGCTAACTTGAGAACTCTATACGTAACAAGATATTTTCTCCCTTTGACCTCTGGATCTTAACTGACTAATTCCATACCAACTTACTACTAATAAAACTGTCTAATATATTAATACTCAATTTGCTTCCTGAGTAAATGTCTCGTTGTAGGCTATCTGCCAGAGAAAAAACTCAAATAACTTATAAATAGCTAATTTCTGTATTACTAGTAGGGATTATGTCATCCATCACTCCACTTGTTGTTTTATCAAACCTTGATTTCCGTGTCTAGTTCTGTTCGAAGGAGAAACTATATGTCCTCACTTACTAGTCCTATGAATATTTTGCGCTGTCTGTAACTGAAGCGGAGTCTCGAAATTAAGTGTTGTTCTCCTTGCTTTAACACGAATAAATAAGTAAACAAGTCTCAAATAGGTAAATTCTAATGAGAAACTCCTGTGAACACCATAAGTCTGTCTGTTTTCGACATAGAACTTTGCACATATGTGCACCAGTTCAAGTCGCCACACTCCCTCCTTGTAGCACACAAAGTAAGAGAAGAAAGTACAAGAAAAGCATAATAGAGACAGTAAACAGAGGTGTGAGACAAAGGAATAGTAGTAACGGAGAACAACATAGTTTAATTGGAAGTCATAAGTCACAGGGAGTGGATGCATCTGCGCCACTGAGAACGATTTGGAGCCATGTCACCAATTGTTTCCAACCACCCTAAGAGATACGCTATGACATTGGTAGGCTCCACTTCCGAATATAACAGAATAAGACGATAGATAGAGATATGAAAGCGAAAGCAAACAATCAAATATTTTGTTGTAGAAAAGTAAGCATACTGACACCCACATTAATCTTTCTTGTAAGTCAAAGACTATATCGAACAGACAAACCACAAACCAGGAGGCCTTAGGTTACCAGTGGAACATGAAAGGAGGCGACGAGTTTGGCGGGGATCAGATGATGACACGGAGGAGATCGTGGAGCAAGCTGGAAACGACTGACTGCAGTGAATACGATGAAACGGAGATGTGGTGTTGAAGCCTAATGTTTCAGTTGAAACCTAAGAGAATAATTATTAGTAACTAAACAATCTACGCTGATAGTACAGTTCAGTTGTAGGCGAACCGTGGATGCTAATCAACGATCATTGGGGAATACCAACTGATCAACCGAACGTTTTTTTTTGAATCACAAATCGACCTGATCATCAAATCCAGCACTCTTTTTTACACAAAAATCTACCACACACATGCAGCAAAGCGAAATTATATTTCATTGTTGTATCAACATATTAGAAGGATGAGGTCATTTTGTATTTTAGATAGATAGATAGATATACATATAACAGAAATATTAGCTGACTCTGTACAGTACAAGTAAAAAATTCAAAACAAAAAAGAGAAGAGAAACAAGAACCTGAAACTAAGTGTTAAACAATGTGTGATAAAGCAAACAAAGGAAACTTCCTTTGTTTTTCTTCAAAAAGCACACAGATACATACGTGCTCGTGTATACTAAATAATAATAATAATAACAATAATAATAATTTAAGGAAAGGAACCCAAGTCAAAAGGATTGATTATCAGTCATAGGTAGATTATATACCTATACCGTCAAATTATTTCCTTGGTGTTTATTTTTATTGTGATACATGCGCACACTCATATATATATATATATATATATATATGCATACACGCGCACAAAGACACTCAAATGATCATAGGGAGCAATTGAGCAAAAGGGTGAGAGCGCAACTCAAATTCTTCAATTCAACAAATCTCTTAGGTGTAGGAATAAAACACATTAAAAAATGTACAATAATAACCATTATCATATTAATGTTAATGATAATAATAGTAATAATAATAATATTGATAGGAATTAAAGACGGTATCCAAATGAATAAACGGGCATATATATATATATATATATATATATATATATATATATTATAATGTTCAACATTAGAAGTTAGCGTGTTGTGTATGCCCCCATAACATCAATATCATGCAATCAACACCAGCTTTTGACTAGATAGGAAAAGCTGTCTTGAAAGAACCAAACAAACAAACATCCAAGCAGACCGACAGAAAGGTAGATAAGAGCTGTTTGACAATTATTTAATAAACAACACCGAAAATGTAATCTGACGCACGCACGCACGCAAACGCACTGATTTTGACTCAATCTTCATACACGCCTGCATACATAAACACACACACATATATAGTTACAGGTATATAAGGGCAAAACATAACTGACACTTTTTTGACAAGAAAAACCACGCGTAGAAGGGAAATCTAAGTACGTTTCTCGACGCAGTAAATGATAAGAAGCTGCAGTAAATGACAGCGATGAACAATGGATGGTAATGAAATTATTATTACTAATGATAATTAATATTATTATCATTGTTATTGTTATCATCATTATTATTAACCTGACGCCTCGATTCTTCTAGTAGTTAAAAGCACAAAAATTGAAAGTGTAAATTTTGAGGTGATTTATAATTTCCCTTTGGCCTTAGCTCCACGAGGTGGAGTTATAGGCCGACTACCCGTTGGAACTCCAACATAGTACTTTTTCTTTTCAGCTGGACGTAAAATCTAAATTACAAAGAAGAGGAGGCAGACATTGCATTATATACAATAAAGTTGAAAATATAATGGATGACTACTATTACACAAATAAGGAGTTAATTATACTTAAGTGAAGTGTTTTCACGAGTTGATCATGGATTGATATCAGTTAGAGAACCATTGAAAACCAGGGAGTACTGGACAGCTGTTGTTTCATCCTAGTTTGGGAATCAACTCGTAAAAACATAACTAACCCTTACAAACCAAACTATAGGAAGTGTTTCGTTGTTTTTATTTTTACAGTCGCGTTAGTGACTTTCAGTCCTAATGTTACGAAAGTATAACTCCTCCTTGAATAAGACCAAAATAAAATCGGGAGTACACACATCTGAGAGACTGTCTGAAAGCCAACAAGTGGCACACGTTCAAAGGCTAACGACGTTAAGTTAGTTATAAAGGAAGCGACTATATGAGTAGAAATTGGGCAGTATGATAAATTAAAATTCTATGTAACGTGGATTGACTTAGTAAAACCCACACAACACACTGATACAAATTACTGCTTCAAATCTGATCAGATTGTTTACAGTCGCTAAGATACAAACTCTTACAGTCAAAATGAGGAAGGATTGCAGATACCGAAGTACAGTTCACTCCAAATCGGTCAGATGATAAACAAACCACCAAAACAGATATTGCTAGTCTGTTTACTCAGACCTAAACATGTTATTAAGTAGTGAGCACAGCGGCACAAAATAAATACTGATATGCCATTGTAGAAAACTTACGACTATTTTCTCATCATAATGTTCACGCACTACAGAACAAAGCTAAGGTTCGACTTAATTCTAGGCTGGAGTGAACCAATGATATAAGAATAAAACTTGTGCACTGTGGTAGAGTGTAGTTCCATAATCATATTATGAGCAATAAATTGTGCTCGAAACATCATCAGTAAACATTACTGTATAACACTGTGACACTTTATCAAAACAAAATTTACCCATAATGGAGTGAACCAATTTATAACATCATCATAAATTAGTCTTTTCTTGATGACATTCGACAGCCTTTGTTAGTAGAGCATAACAACCGGGTCTAAATTGACTGTCGCCGGGCACCTGTTTCTTGTTTCATGTCATTTCGTTTTTTTCCTTCACGTTCCCAGTGAAACACAGGGCTTCAAGCTAGTGGCTTGAAGTTTTGCGTAGCAGTGTTTAGTTTTACAGGATGCGGTTGCCCAACCTTTCGTCTTTACCACAGTTATTTCTGGCTTAGCGAGGTTAAGGCGTGAGTCGGTCGGGGATCAAAGCCCGGACCATGTGTATGGTCGACTAGCGTCCTAACCGCTTTGTCACCGACGCACGTCATTTAGTATAGTCTAAAATAACGAAACTACTTCCCTATACTTTCATGCATGTATAAATGCAGAAATCTGTAAAGAGGGGACTCTGCCTTAAATTGCCACACACTGAATAGGTATACGCAACGTAGAAGCATAATTAACTTGGAACAAAGTATACAGGCTCTGAAAAATAACTAAGCTTTCGAAAATACAACTGCATCACTTTTATTGACTTTGACCAATATTACAACACTTCTGGGAGTAAAACTACAAACAACTCAAGGAAACCAATTAAACAATAAATATCACATCATTCAAGTGAATAATCAATATAGATTCAATATTTCGGACAGCGCCTTAGTTTGTTAGTTCATAGCTTTACTTAATTTACCTGATTCCACGTTGAACGCTGATTATTATTAGCTGGTGTTCGTGGATATACTTACCAACTCTATTACTACATTCTTCCTCGCCTAACTCATGATTTCCGACAGTCGACTTTTAACGGAACACTTTATGGTGATATCTATTTGTAGGTCTTCGTAGCAACACAAGAATGTGTATCGTTTTAAAACTTTCGAAAATTCATGTGTACACAAGGGCATAAAAATACTTGTCTAACATTCTCACACCATCCAGACTTTCGAGGATGAGATATCACAGCTGTACTCCCCCTTATGCATATCTCACAACTGCAAACCAGTAACTTTTAAATATAGTCTTCTGTATTAGAATTACGGCTAGTAAATACCTTTAATTCCCTGTCTATGAAGTACTTTGTTACAATAATGGTCAGCATAAAACGCGACTGATAATGAATTTTCAATCTTTCTTACCTGAAATGAACACAATAATGTATCATCTACAGACATCATAGCTCCGGCGTTATCGAATTCACCACAATAATTCGGGGCGGAAAAAAGTGTCACCAACTGACGTTTTGCGAAAAATTCATAACCATCTTCGACAACCTAAAGTGATATAAGAAAAGATTCAATGTTTACCTACCTGATGAGCACGACATATCAGATCCAAATCGTGTTTATGCAAAAATCTGGCTACAATATCTGGACCGAATGTATAGCTGACACCACGATCATTTTCACCCCAACCAGATACATCTTTGTCTGGGTCTGACCAAAGTAAATCGCAAAGCAATCCCTGCTCAGGTACATCTGTGGGACGCATAATGCGTCTTATTTGTTCCATTGTCGAAAGATCTGGTGAGAGACCTATAAGAAGACATCAAGGAAAATACAAAAACTAACCGCCATGACAGCAAAATATTTTTTCATCGATTATTGCTACAATTGGTAAGCAATTGAAACAGTCTGTGAAGGTTTTCCACAACTTTATGTTATACCGACGTTTACACTCGTCATAGAATCCGTATATACGGTTGATTGAGGCACACTCATGATTGCCTCTTAATAAGAAAAAGTTTTCAGGATATTTGATTTTATAGGCTAGTAGTAAGCATATTGTTTCAAGAGACTGTTTCCCTCTGTCCACATAGTCACCCAAAAACAGATAGTTTGCTTCAGGAGGAAATGCTCCGTATTCAAATAGTCGAAGCAAGTCGTAGTATTGACCATGAATATCACCGCATATTTTCAGTGGAGCTTCTAATTCTAACAAAATTGGTTGACTGAGAAAAATCTCGCGGGATTTTAGGCACAGTCCCCGGATTTCCGCTTCGTTTAGTTGCACATTTTTGCCAGGACGGATTCGACGCACTAAAACGTACAAAAAAGAATAAGTGAGTGGATTAAAAAACAGTTGGTAAGAACTTAGACTATAATGGGAAAGAACTCAAGTCTCAAGATGATCAACAATATGTAATTTAACAAATTTTTCTTTTTTTAAGAAGTACAATGCGAACAGTATTCTGCAAAGATTGGTGATACAATTCATTTGAGTAAACAAAATTAACGGACCGCTGGTTAGGCTCTTTACACAAATCTAAGTAAGACAGCAGATTCCAGTGCAAATGTTATCAGTCAATTCACAACACAAACTCTAAATACCTTTGACAGAATCAAAAAAACGAGTCAGAAGGTTACGCTGGTAGTAAGTGACATTCACATGATACAGTCTACGTTGACAAACAATATTTGCCACCATATGTTCATGTTTCGAACATTTTATTAGGCTATTCAATTAACTTGAGCACCAAATCAACATAGACTAACTTTTGAAAAACAAGCAATTTTAAGGCGCACACATCGTCACATTTCAGTGAGACCATCCATTTTAGCCATCTTCCGAAACAGAGATAATGCAATCAAGAAACATTACTACATTCCAAGTGTTTTAACGTAATGCTTTATTATATAAGAAAACCGATACATCATTAAATTTATGGGAACTAAGATTTGGTGAGCGACGACGTAGTTCATTGGCTTAAGCACTCAGCTTTCAGCCAGTGAGTCTTGGGTGAGTTCCACGTCACCTTCTCTCTGGGTAACCGGGTTGCATCATAAGCCCTGACACAATTGTGTGGCCCATAGCATGGTACATGAAACACGTTTCAGATAACTGAGTTTTAACAACAAAATCTTGTAAGGTTCACTACCAGCCATATATAAAAAGCAGGATCTGATGGTCTGACCTTTGCTAGATTGATTGAATTGCTAGTTAGCGCATAGAATCCATTGGAGTGAAAACTCAGTACACTATGAGTACCAAGCAACAGAGTCACAGTATCGAGAAAACCAACACGGTTGACAAATAACAATGAAGCGCATATGCATACTTTACAAGTATATTCGAAGAGAAGTTCGTTGCTTCCTGTCATTCTAAGTAGAAGAAACAAGAACACTGACACTGCTATTTAACGATACCTTATAATGTCTAAATATGAGTCGTACTATTTCTTTAACTCCATAGAAAAACAACTTTTTGACTACTTAAAACGATTTGCCTGCAAGGGTAGGTACATAATTCTGAGGGTTCTGTAAGACTGCTAAATACCAAGAGGGTAAATAACTAGCCTAATATATTGTAGAACCTAGTATTAAGAAAACTGGCAAAAGCTTTGAGAAAATTTAGGAAATCTGAATAGGTTTAAATCTTGTACGAATGCAAATTGATGGAGTCCTCACCCTTCGCATTTACGGAACATAGAAATACTTGGTAACATTTATCATAATTCTAAACTTGAAGGTGATATTTGACCACCGTAGTTAGAGCTGTTAACTAGTTCCACTAGTAAAGTACTAAACTAATACATGCTAGTCAAGGCACTCCACCCAAAAACAAGCAGCAGTGTAAGAACACACGGAGGTTCATCGACTGAATTGGTGGTGCGAATCAAAGATGTATCCTACTTTTGTCATTCAACAACTACTTGCAATTCCATGCAATTGGCGATTAACCACACATATTGCATGAGGGTTAGTGATTCTACCCGACATTGCACACTTCGGTAGGTAGGGCATGTTTTAAACTCTTGAAATTTTATTTGGGAGTGAGCGCTTAGATCGATGAACCACAGGACTGGTGACGTTGATTACGGATGCTTAATATCACATCTGTTGTTGAGCCTTGTTATAGAGAAAAGGTGTGACCATGTGAATTCGACCTTCCGGGAATATATTTGTTATCAAAAGAAGATGTAGTGGGTTAAGAGTATGCAGTAGGCAATATATTTTAGGTGAAAACGCGGGCAGTATACAATTTTCTGAAAAAGCTGGATAGGAGAGTAAGTACCAAAAATATTTGAGGCATTCAACGCCTTGAAGACCACTGGAATCCAGTGTTCGAATGTAAACAGTTTTGGCTGATATCTGAGGGGTGCTTTGCGTTTAAATTAATAAACCAAGAGCTATACTAGTTGAAATGAATATTTATGATGCTATTAACATCCCAATAATATTAGAACAAATTGAAAAGCTGTTTAAGCCCATACGTTGTTATGGGATAAAAGTTGGCATTACATAGAATATACAGGATTATCGAAGCAAAATGCCATTAAATGTTAAAAATTAAGACCGAATCAAGGTTGAATTCAAGTCTCCTTCCTGTGGAGAATCCCAATGTTTCTATTACATAAATATTGAGCAGTGCTGAGTGGGATACGCAGACTTCTCAGGGAGTTAAGTCAGAAATAATGATAAAACCACGCTCAATTAGCATACTAGTTAGATGTATACTGCATTCTCATATAAACCATATAAGTGGACTTCAGTGTTACAACGTAACTTCACTATATCTTGGTTAGTACATAGTATATTCAGGAACTGGTTGCTTAGACTGACTGCTTATTATACTATCCTTTAAACGAAAAGAAATCATTGCATGCATGATTGTTCAACTAATCTTTTGTCATTATGGAAGACACTCAAAATTCGCCTTCCGGAAATTCAATGGTGAAATTAAGTTGAATTCAGGATGTTTGCATAGCATCAAGCTCTATAGCAGCTAGTTACCTGATTCACCACATTACAAGAAGATCGCTCTCTGTTACTCGGCCTAATCTATTTTCCGATAACACTGCTGTATATATCTCGGGAACTAACTCTCCGGCAAGTGAAGAACAATGCCTCAGAATAAGCGGAAGTCATGATTTTTTAGGTGAAAACGTCGAGAATATTTAGTTTGCAAAATATCCTAAGAAACGCGGAAATATCTGCCAAACAAGCCATTCGTGCTAACTGTTAGATGACTATAAATGTAGTTAGCACCAAATAGTACTTTTAGAATGTCCAGTTAAGTAGAATATGATGACAGTTTCACTAGTTAGAACTGATTACTAGCAGAAATCTTAACCATTTATGCTAATGCGAGACACTGCTACACAAACGAAGATGCTTTTGTTAAGTTGCTTACACTGAGTGGGGCGAGGAAAATAATTTTAACACTAGGTACACTACTAATTAAATAATGGGAACCAAACAATGATGTGATAAAATTCAGTGCAGCCTTATGGATCACTGAGCAGAGATATTGGAATGTTTGGCATGCGATTCGCTCCTGACAAGTATCAGATGATGCAGGGCTGGTCTTCACCAACTCCCAGTTTAAAGATAGGAAATGAAATGTTTGAGTGTTTTGACTACTTCACTTATTTGGGTAGCTGCGTCAGCCGTAATGGACTGACTACAGAAGAAATCTCTACACGCGTACAAGAGTTTTGTGTGGCGAATGCCACCTAACTTCATCTCAGGCGCACATGCGATATCCAACCATCGACCTAAGGACGTGTGTGCTGCAAAACAGTTCCCTTTGTTCATTATGTCAGTTGACAGAAGGTTCCGGATCTCCCGTCTATTACGTCACTGTTTCGCCCATTATGGATGTTGAAAAAAGAAGACATGAAGAGATCGCATTTATTCACATCCTCTCTCCTGTGTTAACTTTAACACGCTCAATAATATTGACTCTAGGCATAGAGTTCGGAAATTCAATAGACTGAATCTATTGAAATGGCCAAGACACGTGTTGCGCACAGCATCAAGTAATGTTCACGTACGTAGGATTAAATTGTAAGAGGGTTAGAGGATGTCAAATGAAATGAATACACTGCATTGTTCTATGGAATATATGACTACTGGTTTGAGTCGACCATGTAAACACGTGTTGGTTGTACACGGCTTGGCCACGTCCCCTTTATACAATGGGAGTCAACACGCTGTTACTCAACAGAACTGAAGCCACAAGAGGTACCTCATTATTTTGAACGAAACCTGATATACATTACTGAGCTGATGTTTACAAGAACGTGGATGACAAGACAAGGAACGGCCCTAGTTGACAGACACCAAGAAAGAACCTGTAATCACTTAACAGTAGATAACATCACAATTAAAACCCACCAGGTTAATATCTATCAGGATCTGTTAATTCAATGGGTGTATATGCAGCTTTCGTATATGTGGACGACGCGGCCAAGCTTCAGGAAGTGTGTAATATTCAAGTGTAAAGCAGTATGACTACACACTAATAAAAAAATTGAGCTACATTGTATGTGCTCCTGGTATCTCCTGTGCGACTTAAGAGCATGGTCTTAGGTCTCAATAATAAGTGGCAACAGGTCTTCAGAACCAATAAAACATTCAGAGGTTTTGTGGCGACTGGCGAGAGACCGCCCATCTGTTTAATTTTGGCTTTGCTACCGACATGCTAATACGTTGTCAAAACTGAGATTACCCTTAATCTATGTAGAATTTTATTTTACCGTTAATTTACTAACTAGATGCAATACTGTAGTAAAATGCTGAGAATTCCACTGTGTCGCAAGTACTGTTCTGGAATAAAGCTATTATCATTATTATCAAACAGCCTAAAGTAGTGACCAACTTATATTCACATCTCATTATCATCCGAATCAGGCGTGACTCAAGCACTTGTTAACAGCCTTACACAGTGATCTGAAATCTACGCCAAACACGCGAGTTAATCGACAAATTGCTGACCCGAGAGCACAGATTTAATTCTTAGACTGTGCGCTGGTAACGGTTTTCAGTTGCGCTCGACCTATGTATGATTCACGAAATTGCGAATCCCTCCTCCCACTTTATTAAGTCTAGTTTTCACGTCTTCCAACCATCTTAATCGTCACCATATCTATTACCATTTTAGATAAAACAAAGTCCTCTACGGAGAAAAGATAATCTGACGGTACAGGACTTGCTTTAATCCAGTTTATAATTAGAGACTGCAAAATAACTTTCGGAACAAAAAATATCGGCCACACAGTCTATCAGAGCCATAACGCAGGATTTCATTGATGATGCAGAATTTCACAAAAGGCGGTCAACCATCTCATCACCATCCAGAAGCAAACAGCATATACATACATATGTAGGTAACAGTTGACAGCCAAAAGCCATCTGCCTCTCAGTGGACCTCATCACACGCTAATTATCTGAGAGACTCAAAAATTCCAATAATTGCAGGAACCGACATTATTAGTATATTCGACCTCACCGTGATACGAACGATTTCAGATTTATGGTAACATGCTCATACGAACCCATATGTGTTATCAAAGTTTCACAAAACACAGAGCATTATGATATGTCACATGCTTACCCTCCAGTAATCTGGCAATAATACTGTCAATATTCATTTTATCATCCCCGGCCATCGTTACACAAGCAAAATCGAAACCAACTTAAGAGTCCCGCCCAGACATGTGAGTTCAACAGCTCGAAATTGTTAACACTAATAACTCAGAATAGTGAGGAAATCTGGGTAAGAGAATGGGTATTTTTATGAAATAAAGTTAGAATAAAATATTTGTATATGAACGAGAATTTTTAAATTTCGAGAACGCATTAGCAACGGAGAAATGATTTTCAGATTTCAGGTTTATTGGTTAAGGATAGTAGGCTTGGAACCTATGTTAACCTATTCTAGTAAATTTATGTGCTTGTCTAGACCCTTCTTGATGAAATCAGTTGAGGCTACAGACACCACTTCTTTTGGGAGTCGGTTCCAAAAGTTTATGACTCGGTGTGAGAACCAGTACTCCAAAGCAATTTGGTTTTTTCTTGGCTTTTGAACTCTCCTGCTATGTTCTCTAAGGTGTTCTGGACTGTTGGTAAGAAAAGAAAGAGTCTGTCAGGTCTTTAGGCATTATTTAGAGTTTTTAAGCATTTTGATTCAATATCCTCTCTACCCACGTCTAAACAGGAAGAAGAGATTTAGACTGTCTAGTCTTTCCTCGTATGATAAATTAGTCATGCCGGAAACCATACATATTGAACTCTTATGAACCATTCCTGGAAAGTGTCAGTCCCCTATAAGACAAAGACTTGCTGTCTGGATATTGTTTTCAAGTCTTAACCTCACTAGGGATGTATATAAGGTGAACATATCTCTGGTGATTCTAGATGAGGCTCTACGAATTGCCTATAAGGATCTGAAACTACTTGCAGCAACGGCGCGACAGGGTGCTGTAGTTTTTAAATGACACCTAAATCCCAGTGAGTCTAAACTGATGGGAGTGTTACTCCCTCCAGTTCTCTGGAGCTGATGCCTGCTTGTCCGATGCGTATGGTCGCATATCTCGCTATATTGATCGGGAGCATCCATTCTCTGGACAACTCTGACAATTTGTTTAGGTTTTCAATCTTATATTTCAATTTATTTTGAGTTATACATTTGAGTTCAGTGGTCAACTTCAGTGGAAAATCACCACACCCAAAGTGTTTTCCTCATCCAACTTTGAGGGTGAATTTGACTGTCTTTTGTGTAGTAGATGTACGTAAACTATGGTGCCTCGCCTAATAATTTAACATTTCCATTGATTTTCACTGACTGAATTGCTTTTGTTTCGTCGGTTTTATTTCGGTATGAACGGTAACCTTTTCCGAATTTACTTGTTCGGTCATAAACAGTTGCCTTCTCCAATCGAAAAGAGATATCTGAGCACTGCATTTGCCCTACGAGCAACGAATACTTGCGTCATTAGCACGTATGGCAATAAAATTTTGACCATGATGTATCAAAGTGAAAGTTCATCCTCGAGGCACTACCTACTTCAGTATTGGTTTAGATTTTCTTCAGCACTATGAACTGCCTGATGATGCAAAGTGCCACATAGTTCCTACAGACTACTGGCGAACACAGACGTTAGGCTTTCTACTTGAAGGCTGCACGATTCTTGGAGTTACATTTAGCGGTGATTCTCCGTATGCTAAATTATAATCAGTCTTAACAATTTTAACACGGCCGATATAATCAACCACTGAAGTGACGTATCTTATCACCCACTGCAATTTCATATATTCGAGAAATCACACAGATTAGATCATGCTTAATTGCAGACATACATACAGACATTTGATGCACTCGTATCGCGGAATGTTACTTGATACAGATATCTGCGCAATGTGATGGATTTATTGAGGCAGAAAGTTAAAAATCTAGGTGACTCTAAGCTATAGCGACCCCGAATGAAAATTCTTGATGGATGGATTCTTGACATTGAGTAGCCAGTGAGATTAGTCTGCGGTGAGTAGAGGAAATTATGCATGTCGTGCACAGATCACGTAGGAAGTTTCATTCAAATCTAATTTTTAAGTACTGCTTAGACAACAGAATCATAGGGAGGGAGAAAACTTGCGGCTGGCTGCCATCTCCGGACCATGTTCGCAGCGCAGTCAGTTATGCAGACAACTTTATTAGTCCTTTCTATGGGAGCCACCAAAATTCCATTGAAAGTTTCCAGAGTTACCTAAACAGATGTTAAGAGGTGGATGAATCAAGAAACACTTTGATTCGCCGTTACCTCGATGAAATTTAACAGGAATCGGATAAACCTATGAGGAATCATTTGAGAAATCGAGAGGTTTTTTAACACGCAATGCCGTTATATCACAAAACTACATTTTAAAGTGGTATTACTTATATAAATGTACTTCTAAAATTACGCACTTCTTCTACGAGTACATCTGGTTGGTTGGAGCGGATTTGTGAAGGTCTTTATTGGGTAGCTTCTCTTTGGGCAGCTATGGTTCACAATCCCAAAATTTGAATGTATATATTTGAATTCTTATGAAATCATACCGGTAAACTCGGCGTATTTGTTGGAACGCTATTGTCTTAGCTGGTTTGCTAGTTGCTGGTATCCACAGCACAATTTTAGCATCAAATTTCAGTTTCAACTTATTCATCACACTCTGCACAAAGCATTACCTCTATGGGCACAATGTGTAGTATTGTTACGAACTCGTTCTTCAAGCGGCTTTCATTTTGAGGAAGGATTCAATTGCCATAATATTCCAACTTCATAAGCATGATCTAGACTCATTAGTAAAAAGGTTACTATCCTAGCTGGAATAAGGATAAGTTGTTCAGAAGGTAAAGAAGACTTCCCAGGTTATTCGTACAAATACTATTGCGCATTGAGGTTCTCTGCAACTCCACATGAAGCAAAAGATTATAAATGCCTCGCTCATCCTTTCAGAATAAGAAAGTTAATAACACAGCAATGGCTTCACGAGATCGTATATATTAGTTCAGTAAGGTCGAGTCGAGCGTCGTTGGAATAGAGGTTAGGACGCTCGCCGACCATGCATATGGTCCAAGGTTCGATCCCCGGCCGACGCACTCCTTTACCTCACTGGGCCAGAAATAATGCTGGCAAAGGGGAAAGGTTGGGTATGAGGCTAGCAACCACATTCTGTAAAAATTTATACTGCCACAGAAACTTCAAACCAATGGCTTGTAGGCCTATGTTCCACTGGGAACGTGAAGGAAAAATTATTTATTACTATTTTTAGGGACCAGTCGGAGATTCTTCACTTCACTGTTAAGTTGTGAACTCTGTAGACGCCTACAGTAATACAACTGAAATGGCATCTGCATACTGAAATCAAAATGGTACAGGTTTACTAAATATTATACATTTCCTGTGTGAGTTTGTTGTTCATCAGGTAGTCACCTAACAACTTCTCAAAGGTAGAATCAGGAAGGAGATAACAACGAGAGAAATCTTAGAATTTTGCTGCCTTATCACACGGCATCCATTAATACTGTTTCAAATAATTTACCTCCAACAGGAAGTATTTTTGGTCCAAAAATCAAAACTTCTTCAGCCAGATAGTACATCATCCTTTTTCATGAACCATGTGATTTATCTTGTGATGCAGCTACCTTGTTCTGTCTTTTCACTTGTATACTGTGATTTAGTGTTTGATCACTTCATAGTCTTTTGCCTCACCTCGGTTTTGTGGATTCGCCAGCCAATGAGAATAGCAATTGCCAGCCGATAAGAACAGTCCATTCCCACGCCTGTGATCCGACTTTGTTGTTGTAGATGAAACATATACATACCATGTTGTGTATCCTAAAATGTACAATACAATATTTTACAGTCACAGACCAGCCTTCGTCTTATGATATTTGCGTGGCTCAGTGGATCATTGGGTTTGCAGTAATTAGCAGGAGCGGACATGACAGAGTAGTGACGGGGGTTATTCAGTCCAGCTCAGTTTTAACAAAAATGTCAAAACGACATTCACACTAGATGTCGTCATACAAAACGTCTGCAAGGGGTCTTTCAATACATCTACTCCCCACAAATCTGTTGTTACGAAGCCTCGAAATTATTTACATTCGGATTTATCAAAACTGGTATGCTTATAACACTGATACAACGACATGTAAGGCTTGTACATTATGCCGTGGAGTCGGCCTGTCATAGCATTCCCTACGTAGCAAATGCAATGTTTGTGATAATAATTCGTCATTATCTTTCGTTGTGCTGATAGGTGCGTATATATTTAAAAAGGTTAACCTCATCGCATCAGTTCCCGAAAATACCTCCACTAAATGCTGATACTTCTGCTAAGTACGAAGTGCCGCTCGTGGCCTATGAAACACTGTTTCCTGCACTCGTTCTATCAAAGTATTATTAAATGGAGTAGTGAGACAGAAGGCATATGAAATCTAGATATAAGTGTGTAGTTGCAGTTACTAACACAATATAAGTGTACATGGTAGTGTATTAGTCAAAGGTTAGAGTTACCCAATATAGTTGAAACAGGTGCCTACTGAAGGGAAAATTGATGCTTTTAATATTGATACACCACAAAAGTGAGAGTTATCAAAATCATTTACATGCTAACAGTGAAAAATAAATATTTAAAAGTAATATTAACTTGTTAACAAATTAGATGTTTTGATTAATAGGAACAAAGATGGGGCATTAAAACTGAATGCATGGGTAGGCAGCATCCACTGTCCAGTATACTCATATTTTGCGTCGATGGCACAGTGGTTAGGATCCTCGCCTACCATGCACATGGTCCGGGGTTCGAGCCCACGCTGACGAACACCTGATATCTATGGTCGGCCTTCGAAATTTGGGCTACCGATATCCACGCTGAAAATTCCATACTTGTACCAAAAATACGGTGTGGAATCAAGCTGTAATCAAAAATAAAAAAATAAATATAAATAATTACAATAGGACAAAGTATTTCGACGACAGGAGTAGAGCAGTCTCCTGAAACTACTAATTTAGTGAATAACTAAATTTGTCTTCGAACCAAGACTGAAAGTAAGCGGCTCGTCCATTTGCTAAGTGATTAATACTATTCAGTTACGCTAGAACAAGTGTATCCGTATACTGGTTTACTTATAATCCTGTCTTTTGAATAACTTAGCGACGTAGTGTTCACTTTAGTTTCGAATTACTGAGTCACAGCAATCAAGGATACCGCATAACGCCATCAAAACTCTGTCTGCTAGAAAAAGTCTACAATACTAGAAAAAAAACCCCTGAGATGGCTCGAAAGAATGAATTCGCATCATTTGCAAATTGGTTGAATATTGCCACATTCTATAGCTTTTGGGATTCTGTGCAGTGTTTCTAACGTTCTGCTCTTCGAATGCTTTTTTTAGTGTCCGAAATATACTGCTAGCTTTTTGATTTCGTTTATTGATACACTACTTATATTTGATGATATGTTGCGATCACCACACCAGTAAATCCGGACGATGAAATATATGAGAACAGTGAGTAAAAATAGGCACTTGAGAGGGCTTTTTATGTTGTTTGTTCACATCGAAGGGAAAAATTAACTGTAAAAACATAAACAGCATAGAAGTACACGATTATTATAACAATTTACCTTGTTGGTACATTTGAATCAAACAAGTTGTACGTTGATTTAGTTCTGAAGCTCTGATATATTTATGTAGCACCAAAACACTAAACTTATGCATGAAACATTAATAATGTTATTATCTTATATTCCATTATTATTTCGAAACGGTTAAATTTACAACAAGCTCCGTGTTCATCTTGTCGGCAACTGTGTGCCAACGGTGAAACCTAGCCAATTATCGGGGAAACTTGACTTAGTTAGTCCTTATTAGTCCTCCAAGAGAGTGAAAGTCTGCACCCAGATATGTATAATGGTGAAGCCACGAGCTTTTGGTTTTATAGAGTTATCTGCAGTTATTACATATATGGAGTTATATTCTATTGATTTAAGAATACTATTTTTCAGTATAATCCCACACGAGATCGAGAAGTATACACTTTTGAGGTTTTCAGCAATATGTATTGGCTTTAATATCACCCAATAGCCGTTTCTTGTCACTACAGACCAGAATATCTCTCCCCTCACTGTATCCCGTAAAAAGCCTTTGACATTTGAATGCCGATCAAAGCAGAGGCATATTTAAGTGTAGACGGTACAGTCACTTGAAGGTTGTTTTGCTATAAGTATTTAGTCCGTTACAGAGTCATAATAATGGTAGACGAAGGGACGCCTTTCGCAAAAATTCGTCATGAGAACCTTATTTTAGCAGTACGACCTGAATGTTAGTGCGAAAGTCACCTGGAAAATATAAATTCGCAACATGTTCTCCGTAATTACTTTTTCTTTTTGTTCCCCACTCTTTTCAACTTTTAGTATTTATATGTTCGAAGCGACGGGAATTTTCGGGTCCTAAATCTTTATTTGTTTTTCGAGGTCTGGAATGTGGTATTGAAAGCAAGTCTGTAAATGACAATTTTTAAGCAACGCGTAGGAATAGTTTAGAAATAATTGAATAGAGTGCATACTGTATTGAAGTTGTGATTACACATTAACTTATATTATATTGCTGGAGTCTGTCTGTCGACCCAACTGCAGTTGGACGTAGTAATATAGAAGTTGAAGTCAGTTTTCTTTACATGTCTATTGGAATACACCGTGGTAGCAGCATTAACCAGAGCAGAAAGTAGCGATATGATAGATTTTAGTTTTTTTTAGTGGGAAAACCTACTTGGTGGTGATCAACTACAGTTATGATCAGTCATACTGTATAATATACCTGGTGATTTATCCTGTCGTGGTCAAAGGAAATTTAGCGCAACCTAGAAACAAATTAACATGCAAGATTTCCTACCACTGTTTTTTGTCAGTTATCTTAGAATGTAAATCAATGCTACAGTAAAACAATCCTTCATTCAGTTATATAAATTCCATCTCTTCCTCCTCTTAACTCCCATGTTTGTGTCCGTCTGCTTGGAATTAGAAGCAATGTAGTATAAATAACAATGATGAGCACCTTCTGAAGTTTTTATGTGCTTTAACTTTGTGGTGTCAAGAAATTGTAACTCACCTGCATAAAGCCAAGATAGCTGAATATATTACTGTAGGTTTCACTTTATTTCAGATGCTCCGCCCGCGTGCACTTACTTCCGCCTTAAGAAAAATGAATACTGGTGGAATGCAGTCGGTTATGTTATTTAATCCCGAAGGTGTCCTTCTAGCATATACAAGTCTTGCTGGTGACAGTGAACGATCTAAGGCAGCAATTGCTGCTAATATTTGGAATATATATCAACGTCAGCTAGAATCCAGTGAATCGGTAATTTTTTTGATGATGATGAATTTTATCTGAATATATGCTACTTGATTTAAAAAAACCCAGGGAACCACTGGTGACAGTTTCACTGCATTAGTACCCTCTATTTCTATGCGTGATCCTTCGAAGTATGGTATGGTATGGATATTTTCGCAAAGTTCTACAATATGTCGACTTTCACTACACATAAATCTGTGTTCTAGTCGTATTAATTGATTAGCGCTTCATGTATATTATGCTGTTTTTAATTATAGAAAGTGGCCTGAGTGGTGGCAGGACATTGTTTTTGATATTTATTAAATTTCTTAAAGATGTTTTAAAATGTCGCTCTCTGACCCGTTAGAAGATCTAATCTGTGTGGATCTAATAATACTTCTGAATCAAATCCTCATAGTATGGTTAATTTTTGTTGCTTGTACACTTAACGTGTCAGGTTGTCTGTGTAGGCTCTTTTAATTGTTTGAGCATATATTCGTGCATATGATAAACTTTTACTAGTAACCCTAGTCATGGATTGTATGTATGCAATCTGTTTGTAATTTGAAGGACTAACGGCTTGTAAGGGGATTTTGCGTTGTATTTATGGTTTAAAATGTTCAATGAAATCCTTGATGTCATTTGTCTGTATGCTGCGTAAAACTTACCTTACAAATTTAAATAGTATATTGTTTCAAAGACTCCGTGAAGTCCTACATACTCAGCGAAGTGGATATAAAGTATTGCAGTCTAATTTCACGTATGCTTCCAGTCACAATTACTGACAAATTTTGGATTTCTCGGAGGCTTATGCTTCAACCTATGGTGTCTAAATTCTTATGAATTTGTGTAAAGATGTACTAATCAGCAGAAAGGATTAGTGATTATGTGTATTTAGTAAACTTGTAACTCATCGCTCCAGTTTACTTAGTCTCCAGGCATCCTAAAAGCAACTTTCTGATCACTTGTCTTCGGTAGAGGTATAAACACTAGGAGTGCGCATCCATTTTTTTCTAGGGTTCGGTGTATCAGTTGCTTATCTGGAGGTTGATGGGTTAACATTGCTAAACGTGGTTGTCATGTGTTCTACACTTGTAACTATTGCTTGTTTTGATATGCTATCTTAATCAAGTAAAAAGTGCAACTTGCGAAATATAGATACTTATACGATAAACTATGAGGAATGCTTTTATTTGGGCATCTTACATTATATGACTGCTTGGGTTGTAGTGCTTGAAATAATATTTAGATTTTTTGCTTTCCAGTTAGAAGCCAAGCATCTAAGCTAATGAACATCATTTAGATGAATCTAGAGTACGGATAATGATGCTTTCAGAGTGAATTAAACAGTGGGGTCTTATGATATCATGATAGTGTTGACTTCTAATTTAAGTGGGCCTAAAAACTATAAATATTCTGCTTAATTTTCAGAAAATACCACAAAGTAGTTATCAAGAACTCTGGACAACATTATCCAAAATTACCGTTTTTACACATTTTATCTTCTCGTAGGAAGTTTGCCTCATCAGCTTTGGCACTTGACCTTCATCAATTGGGTCTAGGATTGAAACTCCTCTCCTCCTACTTCAATCTAAGCAACTGGTTATTATCATCAATCCTCACTCAATGAGTATGTCTTACAACTTGGTGTATGAAAAATCTATCCTGTGTAACTGACTTCAAGCCAATTTGCTACTATCGATTATTTGTTTCGCTAGTAAAACAACATTTGTCGAACTTCAAGAGGTCATTCATTCAAGGCAGAATTTTCCACAGTGTTCAGATTTGTTTGAGATTTCAATAGTGAGAAATTCTCTGTTTTATATGCTGAGAGAAACAGATGGTTGTTATTACAAATTGACTAGATGCTAATAATTAGTGGTTAGAAATCGCTGATTACTAAGTTCAAAATTGCTCACCTTATATTGTCTTCCGGATTCTGAAAATTTGTAATAGTCTTCGTTTAATTGTTTTCTCGTTCACACCTAACTTTGTCAGTTACAATATCTCTCTAATTTCCTGTTTCCGCAAGTATACTTTCTTTTGGACTGTGACAGGTGCACTTCCATTCCTGGACCAGATTTTAATCATATAATAGTCTCTATTCAACACTTATTTATATTTAAAAATTGATACTTATTTTAATAAGTGGTGTTTAATTAAGTGTCTTGTTGTTTACCTAAATTTATAGGTTTTCCATGTGCGTCAGTGGCACAGCAGTTAGAACGCTTGCCGACCATGCACATGATCTGGGGTTCTATCCCCAGCCAACTCACTCCTTTACCTCGCTAATGCTGGTTAAGAGGAAAGTTTGGGCATAAGGCTAGCAACCCCATCCTGTAAAATTAAACACTGCTACAGAAACTTCAAGCCACTAGCTTGAAGCCCTATTTTCCACCGGGAATGTGAAGGAAAAAATAATTAATTAAAATTAAATAGGTTTTTCAGGGCAACTTTTCACGAATTAGATCATACTACTCATGAGCAGTTAAAACCCAGCTACTCAATCTTTAAACAACTTTCTAAACCTAAAATTAATATTTTTGTACATCGTAGTTTTACCCTTAGCAGTTATAGTCTAATGCTAATAATAATAATATCGGCAATGTTTTATCTTGTTTCAGGATACTGTTCAAGAAATTATCTTAGAATTATCCGAGGGTAGATTAATAATCACACGTGTAGCCTCCGTCCTGCTTTGCCTGCATGCTTCAAAGGATGTTGGTCTTGGAATGCTACGAGCCAAAATGAATGCTTTAGTGCAAAACTTACAAGAACCACTGAGTATCATTGCAGCCTCTTGAAATTTCGTGGTCATTTGATTTGATTTTAGAAAAACTAAAATATTAAATATTCACCATCTAATGTGATAATATTGTGATTTAAATTTATATTAAAAAAATGATGTGCGTATATTGTAAATCACTGACCTTTGTAAATATAAGTCTATTACATACGCAATAAATATTGATTTCATTTTTTCTGCTTCTTTAATGTTGAATTTTATGATGTTGTTAGTGTTTCTGTTGACTTTTTTTCAAAATTTATCATAACTTTCCTTCAGATGTTCTTCAAAATACTTTCTTTGTTATTAGTTAGATTATTTAAGATAATAATAGCTTTGTTTATTCATTGTAACATAGAAGTGATAATTAAAGATGGCCAAACAAAATACTAGATGTGGTTAAGGCATCTAGTGTAATGTTTAAAAAATGTCTGCCAACATACACTCAAGCGACATGTCCATTTAGTTGCTGTCACGCTTCAGATATAAGTATTGTCCTTTATTTCTATAATAACTGTTTTATGACCAAGCTATGAGAGCTATATTCATATCTTCATTCAACTTCGACTACCTGGAGTTCTAGTGTGAGGTCGTGATCAGCGAGGTCCACTAAGTCAGGTAAGAGAACAGTTACTCGCCTATGATATTGACAGTGATTGGAATTTATGAGCTACTGGATTGGATCCCATTAGCTGCATGGTCTGTGAGCTTGCCGTGTAGCCGGAGGGTCCTTGGTTCTGTCCGCGACGGGCATGTGCTGATGAGAAGTCCCAAACTAGTACGAAACAGTTGTCTAGTACGCTTTGCTGATTTTCCAATGGTTCCACAACTGATATTGGCTCGTGATCAAACCTGTGACTGATCTAATCCTTGCAAATCAACTCTGACATTTACATTTAATATAAAAGAACCCCAAAGTCAGTATCATTTTTTTTCGTAATTTTCATTCATATACACTAAAGAGGATAGAATTGTATCATTTAATGCAGAAAACATATGTGTAATCATTGATTTCTTTTACAGTACTCATATATTGTATCTAACTTTATACCTACTTATTGAGGGTAGGTGTGGAGTTTATTAATTGTAAGCGCTGACTTCCCGGATCCACCACAATTAAATTCTTACGTAAGCAAACAAGTATGTGCGGCATGTGCTGTAAATATCCTCCTCTGCTGGTGAAACCAGTCTACCTTAGTAAATGACTTAACTCACCAGTTACAAACGGATCTGTTGAATTGGTTATAGGCTAATAGTGAAATCTGGTTGTTTATTTTTTATATATATAGTACGGTAACCACCTGCTGTAACCACCTACTTGTTGAAATTCTTCATTGTTTTAATTTATGCTGTTTGGTTGGTATCGGTCGTATACATGTAACTGTAGAATACGGTTTTGTTTGACTTAGTATTATAATTTTGACTGGTTAAGTCCCATAATGTTAAATAGCTTCATGTACAGAGGCTAAAAAATTCAGGCAGGATAACGAAATTCCATTATATGCTTGTATTTTACATGACATATTCCGTAAGTCACAATTAGTGTCACTGTGGTTGTTGTACTATGTGAGTTTTTGGGCTAAAGGCGGCGGGATAACGTCTAAACCCACGATCTGTTGCTTAAAAATTGACTGCTTATGCCATGCAACTACACCTTCAAGTATAAGTATCATTTGCAACTTAGTGCACAATCATACTGTTTTACGTTCCATTAACTACTCTAGAAGATTTAGACTTCATGGATGATTCATTTCTAATATCACATAAACCCGAAGATCTGCCGGAGAAAATTAACAAATTAGTAGAAGAAGCAGCAGCGAAGACAGGACTTCAAGTGAACGTAGAGAAGTCGGTGGTGTTGGTGGTGAAGATAACTGATTACCAACAACAACAAGCACCAACTACTATTAACGGAAGAAATTTGAAGGAGGTCACTTCCTTCATTTATCTAGGTGACGTTCTTTCAACTGTATGTGGTGGCACAGATGAGAATGTCAAGGGTAGCCAGTATCGAAAAGGCAAGACAGACTTTCATTAATCTAAAAGCAGTGTGGAAGTCTTCTCACTCAACAAGAAGAACCAAGATTCAGAATTTCAACACTAATGTCAGGTCAGTTAATCCCTGTATTTAAGCTTCAGAAACTCGGCGTGCTACCGAAAGCATTAACAATGGGCTTCAGACTTTTATCAACAGCTGCCTTCGCTGGCTTAGTACTGAAAATCAAATGGTTAGCCAGAAAGAATTAGCAGCAAGGAACCTTGGCAAACAATCAATAAAAAAATCTCTCTCCCAACAAATATACTGAAATGAATGGAGATAGAATGGACGGACACCGAGGCGATCGTTGCGTAAAATTTCGCGTCAAGCAGGTCCTTGTGTATATAACCCCAGTGGGAAACGAAGAGTTAGGCGTGGATTGGAGAGTGATCGTATGAGAAAGAGGTGAGATCTTATGGGCAGTCTTTAAGCCACCTAAAAATGACTGCAGAGAACAGGATAAAATGGAGGTGTGTCGTCGAAGCTTCATGTCCCACTCGGAACCTGGGGGAATAATAAACCTACTCATTAGTTGCTGCTTTGGAGTCTCCTAAAGAAAGAAACACCTTTACTCTCGGATGTTTAGGTTGATCTAACTGACGAGTTCTAGAAGAAAGATGTTAACATGTATGCGTCTCAGTTTCCGCTGCTGATCGTCACCAAGCATCGATTAGAATAGTCTACTAGATTTCATATTAACTCTCAAATATCTTCGTTGTATATTTTAAACATAGTGTGCTCGTTAACCCAGTCACAAAAGTAGATAAGTATCCTACTCATGTTATCTCCATCCGCATTTACCGATTCACCTGCACTTGTATCAGCAAGTACATAGGAAGGACTGAGAGGAGAGCGTCTACTAAATTCTCTCAGCATATCCCTAAAAGGCAGCAAAGTGTTCTCAAGTGCCATTGCCCGATACCTAACTAACACGGGATATGCAATGAAGATTAGTCAAGCTTTCAAAATAATCAATACACAAAGAAAACCGTGGTTATTTTGGTTCTCAGAAGCCATAGCCATCAAAAGACGTCGACCCAACCTATTTGTACAGAATGAGAGAGTGACTAGTCTCTCACTACACTACCTGGTAACCGTAATTGTTTTGTTAGTGTTCTTTTGTATTTTGCTTTGTTCTGTTGCACTCAATCTTGATTTTGATTGAATTTCGATTTGATTTTGATTGAGTATTGAACTCAATATTTAGCTTCCAAATCTACTAAATTAAATTATTTTATCTATCTTATAATTTGATTTCACTACTAACCTCCACCCTCTTGAACTCTCCATCATAATATGTATAAACCACGGTGCACAAGTGCTTTTCTTACATATTTTATGCGTCACAGTGAATTTTCAGACTGATAATTTTGTTTTTGTGGTGTTGCTTAAAATGTATGTTATCATACGTAGTCATGTTAATTGATATTAGTAGAGATAAGACTATACTACAAGTAATTATTACCTATCAATACTAGTAGAGAATACCATTGGAATATTTTTGTGAGTTGAACTATTTTCTTTTCTTTGTGTGTGTGTGTGTGTGTGTGTATGCAGTGTGTGTTTGATCATCACGTTTACAATCTCTGCGTATAATGAGATATTTAAAGAAAAAATAATTATTTTGAATTTTTAATCTTTTAGAGAATCCAATCATATTAAGAAGATAGCAAGTTAAAGAAAAGGCATCGGTGAACGCACATACACAACTACAACGTATTACATCCTATTAACTGAATCAAGTGTGTTATGTGATCATCATCTTGTGCATACTACAAACGCATACACATAAACGCGCGCACGCACACACCATCATATATATGCAGATACAAGAAGTAAATACACAATTAGACGATATAATGATCCCTGTTATACCATTGGAGGATATATCTTCGTTTAATAATATTAAAAATCATAATAATAATAAATCATCTGTAGATGAAGAAGGAGAAATGCCTAATTGTCAAGAGAAGGAATTTCATCAAATGAGCCTTAATGTATCATTGTCATCACCATCACCGTCACCATCGGCATCCTCATTATCTAGACAAGATAATATGCATAAAATATCAACTGGAAAACATGAAACTGGATTTACTACACTTTATAATGGTGATGTTTATCATTGTCAAACACCTGCGAATTCTTCAGTTTCTACATCATCATCTTCGTCTTCGTCGTCGTCGTCAACATCGTCTTATTCTATCTCCTCTACACATATGCCTAACAATACACTGGATGAGAATGCACTAAAAGTGGATAGTAGTTGTGATTTAAAAACCGGTGATCATTCTACACAGCCTTATTATTCGCATGTATCGCCAACATCTTATCACTCACCAGCACCATTCTGGTATGAACCAGCTGCTATAGCTGCAAATAATGCCTGTGATTATACAATTAAAATTACTCTGGAAATGGCTAAATCTGGTCAAGGTAATTTAATTTATGCATAATTATTGCATGATTTTTGAACTAATTTTCGTGGGTGTTGAGTAGTGGTTGAATGTAGGATGTGCATTTCATCCTACTTGAAACTCATTAGCTGGATGTGCCTGCGTCCCCGTGCAGTATGTGGTGATGTTTCCATTGAGACTGGAATCCAGAAGCTATCATTTCAAACATCATCCACCGTAATTACTTCAAGTTAATTCATCCGTAGTGTGCGTCGCTGGCATAGCGGTTAGGACGCTCATCGAGCATGGACAGGGTCCGGGGTTCGATCCCCGGCCACAGACGCACTCCTTTACCTCGCTAAGCCAGAAATAAAGCTGGTAAAGGGGAAAGGTTGGGCATGAGGCTAGCAACCCCATCCTGTAAAAGTAAACACTGCTACAGAAAGTTCAAGCCTCCAGCTTGAAGCTGTATGTTCCACTGGGAATGTGAAGGAATGAAAGAAAAAAAGATTCACCCGTAGGCATTGTCAAAGCCGATATGTCAAGAGAGGTTGAACATTTCAGTTCAATAAAAGCTGAATTAAAAACAAATAATATTTATTGATTTTTATGTTGTTGTTGTTGCTTATACATTATTTTTTAAACTTAACTGTTCATAGCAATGATAAATATCGCAAAAAGCTTTGTATGGCATATTTCAATAGACTGATTTGAAAATTTATGTTGACTAATTTGTTTATTATTTAGGGATGAAAGTAGCCACTCTGCTCTGAGCATTACGTTGTACACTTCATATATATGTTAAACTATGAGCTTTCTTTTTGATTGTGCAACATCATAATAAAGTTGTCAGATATGATGGAGAAGATTTGTAGCTCAGGTGGATGACGTAGTTGTGTTCTCTAAGCTGGATAGCTCAGAGAACACAACTACATCAAAACACACAGATGTCAATCAGTTGCTCATTGTCTTACGTACACTGGGCATTCAATCAGTGATTTACACGTTATAATGCCTTCCTGACTGACTGAGTGGCTGAGTTACAGCGTAGGACTTTCCATAAGATTGCAACAGTTCAAGTTGCCGCACTGCATGTGGCACACAAATGTAGAGAAAAGAGTGAAAAAAGAAAAGAAATTCGAAGAAGTATAAGGAGCAGAAACATACGGGAGAAAGAATAAATACATGTAAAAACATAAGGGTTTAATTGATCTGAAAGATTGCAAAGAGTAAGCTCATCTACGCCACTGAAAAGAAAATTTACAGTCATATCACACATAATCTCAAGCCAATTGGTTCTCAGTGTCTCGAGGACCCCAACCACATAGTCTACTTCTTTTCAGTATGAAGGCATTTGTATTTCCAAGTGAATGAAAAACAAAACGATATTGTTGTTTTTACTAGCACCTCGATATTTAGTGCTGCTAAAAGCTTTACCAAAGTAGTATTATTAAACCAGAAATTGCGATATCCCTGCTTTCTATATACAGTAACTCAATTGTCATTTTGCAGTATGAGATCATTTTTATCTTGTCAAGTTTGTCAATTTGTAAACATCACAAAACCATGTGTAGATGGTTGGATTTGATAAGTGTATGAAATTATAAAGACGGAATGTGTTTACATATTGGAATTGCTTTCATTCTGTCACTTCATGGGAAGGTGTGTGTGTTGGAACCATGTCAAATTCTGTCTTAGTCTATCTTTCATTCCTATTCAAACAACTTGGATTCCACTTAATATGCAGTACTTCTGATATGAGACGTTCTTTGCGACTTTTGAAATCTTTCTGGATAGCTTCAGTATTGTCAAAAATAAATTTTGTGGCCTGATTGTATAGACTGGAGACCTATGGCTGGTGACTTTTCAGGCTCTTCTAGTTCAACTGGATTTCTCTGTGGTCGAATAGAGGCGGCTCTACGGGGTTCATTTCTTCTGATCTTGATTTCTTTCTGGTGAGGTTTGTTCGATGTATATCGCATCACATTCCAAGCCTTTTTATTTTATAGACAATTAATTTCTGTCTTTGGACAAGGTTGCCTTTTAGTGTGTCTTGTGGTTTGAAAAAGACATTGATGTTGTGTTTATTGAGTATTCTTCTGATGTCGCCTAACCTTTCTGATCTATAGGGAAAGACAACTGTCGAGGTCCACGTCTTTGGAATACGTTTTCGACTATGTTTAGTGTTAGTTTTATTATATTCACCAATTGACTGACTCGACAACGTAAAAATTAACTCATGATAAAGACTGATGTTTAGGTTATCGCATATAAGGTGAGATTTTGTAAATTCTGGTTTAATAATACTTTGATAAAGCTATTAGCATTAAATAGCGAAACTTCAGTAGGAACAATGTCGTCTTTGTTTTTCGTTCATCGGGAAATACAAATGCCTTCATAATAATGTATATCATATACCCAATGCCCAAATTTTTGCAAACTATTAAGTGTGAGCATAGTTTGGACATATGAATCTACTCTTTCCTGTGTGGTTGGCTCACACCAACAGTTAAAGACTTCATAGATTGATGACATGTTTTGATTGAATCACCTCAAACTCCTTTCCAACCTATGTCAGCTAACATCGCTCGTTGAGGGAAGCGGCAGGTGGAGAACCCTCCGTAGGATACTAGAGTTTAGATTGTAACGTAATGATAATAATTGCATGACAGTGGGTGTAACCTAAAACACGTGGTTAGGAAGTAGATCGATTATTATCGATTGACTACATTTACTGATTGTTATGAGGGAGTTGTAATATAATATTGCCTCTGGGCGTTTCTATAGCTATGAGGTGCCATCTGAGCTTAGAGGATACATCAACACCTAAAATGAATTTTTGTACGGATGACACTTGTGACATATAGGTTGTGAAATAATCGGTAAAGTGAGATTATAAATGACGAGTTTTGCTCTCATCTGCCAAACTACTTGGAAAGACATGACGTTTCAGGCCGTAGTCAAAGTTTAACACAATGACGAACGCGAAAAGATGGAAACGGTATGGATCTTAACATTCTTATGCGTCTGTACAAACCATTATAGTTTACGCTTAGAGGGTAACAACAATAGGGTAGACAAAGAAACGTAATGCAAATCAGAAGTTGTGAAATCACATATCAAAAGTGAATAACTGACCTCGTACAGCCGGTCCCTTTTATTGGTTTGAATGAAGAACGAACATATGTGCGGGATAATACGGGCTCGTTTTATTTCGTGGATCCTCTTCAACTGCGTACATCCTAAACAAAGTCAACTATAATAGAAAAGATTTGTAACTCAGGTGGATGATTCGGAGACTCATGAAGAAATTTAAATCATTTCACTTTATCCTAAATACTGCGCTGAAGATGTCGTCCAGAAAGACGATGAAAGCTCCGCAATTAAACCAAGGAGCTCAGAGAACACTATCAATTCCAAAGTCAACTATAAGTTAAAAAATTTCTGAACATACTTTTTACAATGACTTCGAGTTACAGGTAGAAAGTATAAGCAACATAACGCAAGTAGACCAATTATGCAGTGTTAAAATGGCAACTATCTATATAATAATCAGGCGAGGGTATATCTATATGTAGCAGTTATTGTGGTTATGTTATAGCATTGTTAAGGCTGTTGTGAAACTGGTAGCGTTTCATTTCTCTCTGCCCTCCTTTATGGCTGTAAAATACGGCCATTGAAAGTGAAAAATGTGAAAAGGCTAACTGTCTTTGACCACAAATGTTTGCGTTCTATCCACTGTGTTAAGTTGTATAATATGTTGAGTAATGTTCGGTTTAGACTTGCAGTATGCCGTAAAGCGGCCAAATTTATCTGTGATGTTGTGCCGGTACATCGATTAAGGTGTCTGGGACACGTGTAACTTATACGAAGCCATCGCCTTCGTTGTTGAACACTGTTAGATGGCATAGAAATTGAGTTAGAAAAGAGTTAGAGGTGGTCAAATCCATGAAGTCTCTGATTATTGGTTTAAGCCGGATAGAGTGGTGTAGATCACGTCACTGGCCGGGGTCTTTCAGACACTAAGAATCAATGGTCTGGGACTGTTTGTGATATAGCTAAAGTCTTCTTCAATGGGGAAGGTGTATTCACTTTTAGTAATCTGCCAGCTATATTTATTCCTCGTGTTCCTCCATGCACTCATCTTTTTTCCTGTACATTTCTTCGCACTGTACTTCTTTGAATCACCTTTTTTCACTCTTTTCTCTACCTTCCTATGCTTTATGAAGTGTAATAGTTTTAAGTGCTACACTTTTGTGCAAAGTTCCTTGTTGAAAACTCAGTTATGATCTCAAGAGTCCCTTCTCGCCTAACTTCTTTTGCACATAACAACTATGAGGGAGACTGTTATAAATAAATATCTAATAATTTTTAAAGTAATTTTCCCTTCACGTTCCCAGTGGAACATACAGCTTCAAGCTAGTGGCTTGAAGTTTCTGTAGCAGTGTTTACTTTTACAGGATGGGGTTGCTAGCCTCATGCCCAACCTTTACTCTTTACCAGCTTTATTTCTGGCTTAGCGAGGTAAAGGAGTGCGTTGGTGACCGGGGATCGAACCCCGGACCATGACATGGTCGGTGAGCGTCCTAACCGCTATGCCACCGACAAATATTTATCTAAATAAACATTTTTAGAGAATAACTTATGCACTTAGACTGATTTCGTTTATTCTTACGGAATATTTATTATTGTAATGTTAAGTCCTACTTTATCCTTAAGAAATAATCCTAAGTTTCCACTTGTGCCTCTTTTGATTAATGTTGTTGTGTATAAGTAAAACGTGGTGTTTTTGATGTATTAGAAATATAAAGATTTTGCTGAACTTTCGTATTTGAGAGCGAAGTTAGATTCTAAGCCGTGATAAGGCAATCTGAAATAGCCTAAATTACACAGACTGGAGCTGGATGAGATGATAATTAAGGTGAGAAGGGAAGCAGCTTAATGAATTCTGTTGCTATCCAGTTTTTATTTAGAATTCATTTATATCCCTCTAACAGTAATGAGTTGTTGGTGAGTTTACGATCTGTGTTGAAGTGATCTGAATAGACTTTTACACAGGAGCCGAAGTTTATAAAATTCTCGTATACATTTTTATATTTTAGAAACGCTTATGGTTTTATTTACCTCATTTCTATTGTGTTAAATTTATCTTAGCGCCTAGACCAGTTCGGGTGTATGCCGACGGAGCCTATGATATGTTTCATTCTGGTCATGCTCGTCAATTAATGCAAGCTAAATGTGCCTTTCCAAATACTTACCTAATCGTAGGTGGTAAGTTTTTTATTTGCACAGTTAACATTCTAAATAATAATTCAAACTTATCCTATTACAGTTGCCGTACGATTTTAGTCTTTACTCCATTTTATCATTCACCAATTGGATTAGTGGATCATCGGTTTAGGGTTTACTCTGATTGATTTTGTCTAAACGACGATATAATATTGTTAGGTAGTAACCATTAAGTGAATGAAGTCTTCAGCACTGTGCATGAAGGTGTTTAAAATCACATGAATCCAGAGTCTTGACTAGGACTGTCTGTTATTCAACCTAAACTTACGTATAAACAATGGTGGAGATAACCTAAAGCTATGCAAGTGGCTTGGAAGACGGTCTTGGGAACTCTGATATCAATTGAATTGTTGTGTGATAAGGCAGGGAAAGGTGTTCAAAGTTCTTCGATACTCCTACTTTTATGATGTCTCAACATGTCGATTAAATTAAATTATCTCATTGTTTCATATTTAACTATGAAGGGAATTTTATTTTGATCAGTCTTACTTTCACTGCCTACTAACACCAATCATATTCCTAGTTGAGGTAGACTGGATCATATGGAAGACTGTGGGGAGCAAGAAGACAGGAACACGTTGGACCAAATAAGAGGAGTTTAGAAGATCCGGACTTCGTGAATGATTTATGTCTAATTTCACGTAAATTCGAAGATCTACGGGCCAAAGTGAACAAGTTGACAGAAGAGGTAGAAAGCGAAGACACGACTTCGGATGACCATAGAGAAAATAGATGTGATGAGGATACCTAGTTAACAACAACAACAAGCACAGATCGTCGTCGACGGGAGAGATTTGAACGAGGTTTTTTCCTTCACTTGTCCAAACAGCATCGTTTCAACCAGAGGCCACATGGATGGTGATGTCAAATCCAGCCAGGTTCGAAAAGACAAGCCTTCATCACTATGAAATCAGTTTGCAGATCTTCTGCACTCAGCACAATGAACACAATTCTTATTCTCAACACCAATGTTAAATCACTTAGTTCTTCTACATGGGTCAAAAACTTGGCGAAAAACATTGCCGACAGACAACTGCAGGCTTTTATCAACAGTTGCCTTCTTTGGCTGTATACTGAAGATCAGATGACCAGAAAGAATTGGCAACAAAAAACTCTTTCAACATATCAATCCAGAACATATTGCTCAACAAATATGTAGAAGTTGATCACGGATTGATATCACTTAAAGAACCATTGAAGACCAGAGAGTACTGGACAGCTGCTGTTTCATCCTAGTTGGGGAATCATCATCAGTACGCACCCAATGGGGTTCGAACCCAGGACTTTCCGAATAGAAGGCAAGTTCGTATGTCATTCAGCCACTGGGACCCGATAACATTGGCTCATGAATTCTAACTTGTACCAGTTCGTGATGTAGTGCAACCCCAACCAGTGGGTGTGTACTGACGATGATTCCCAAACTAGGATAAAACAACAGCTGTCCAGTACTCCATGGTTGGTTTTCAATGGTTTGCTAACTGATAGCAATCCGTGATCAACTCGTAAAAATAAATCTAATACTTACAAACCAATCATAGAAAATATATGGGAGAAAATGGAGATAGATCGGGTATGCACTGAGGAGGCCACCGAGTGACATCACACGCTAGGCCCTCGAGTGGAATCTGAGTGGGAAACGATGAGTTGGGTGTCCGCAGATGACATGGTGGAGATCGTGTGAGAAGGAGATAAAAACTTATGGGCAATTGTCGGGACAGCTGAAAAGGACTGTAGGCGATAGAACAAAATGGAGATGTGCCGCCGAAGCTCCGTGTTCCACTTGGAACCCAAGGGAATAATAATGTTAATAATAATGATAGTAATAATAGCTGGTAAAGGTTTTATTTTGCATGAGAGAAAGGGAGGGTTCGATCATTCTGTTTTTCAATTATCCACATTGTAATAATATTGTACCGTAGTTTGTATGAACGCTAGAATACTTTCTTATTGAACGTAATTAGAATTACCTGTGTTAATAGATTAGTCTGTAAGATACATTACAAACTTTTGTTGGTTGAATTAGGTGTGTACACATACCACGTTTTTTCTCCTGCAACCTACAAATCATGTTCGCGGTTGGTTTGTAATCAGAGTTCTTCGATTCTTTCTACATATAACCCCTGTTCCCAGTGATTCAATATTTTAGTTTTTGTCGTTTCGTTAAGTAATTTTTATTTTGCGGATAGAAATTCACTGGCACAGCATAAGAACTGTATTACTGCATCGACAGGATTTAAAAGGTCGAGTCAGATTGTGTTCACTCCAGATCATACTGAAGTGTCTGTTATTTCCACATGACTGTTTACAATACTTCAGTTCTCTGTGAAATTTGAATTGGTTGAAGTCAAGAAGATATTTCCATATCTGTATGCTTATTTTTGCTTTTCTCGAAAGAAGACGGATTCGGTTGACTGGCTTCCTGAAGGCTTCCATCAACCCGCGTCATTTCGTCTTTCCAATTCCAGATCTATATTGAAGGTCATATGGCGAGAAAGGATAAGCAACACTTTCGTATTCATTATATGATTCATTGTTATTGCCTTTTGGTAGACAGTAGTGTTGATATACTTTTAAGTTTTGGTTTACAGTGGTTTAATTGGTTACAGACTTAAATCACGAGATGACATCAGTTAAAGAACCATTGGAAAACCAGGGAGTAAGAGATAGCTATTTCCTCCTAGTTGGTTTGCAAATCAACACTTTAAAATTAATATGTTGCTCACTAGCGACTGGTTGCATACAGAAAATTACCTGGAATTCTAGTCAGAAGTCATGACCGGCGTGACACATCAAATTGGGTGAAAGGACGGTTACTCGCCGACGACATTGGATATATATGTATTTCGGACTGTCAAAATTTGGAATTCATGGGTCATTGGATTGGATCTCAGTGCCTGAATGGTCTATAAGCTTGCCTTGTAACCGGAAGACTCTTAGCTCAAACCACAATGGATGTACACCATTGAAGAGTCCCAAAGTAGGACGAAACGACTGTCAAGTACTGCCTGATTTTCCAGTGGTTCTCTAAGTGGTATTCTTTTAATTTATCCTATCCTATTTACATCCTGTGTAGTAGGATCATATATGAATCAAGGGTGTTTCTCATTCGTTACAGTAAATCAAAATATATGCTATTTTCTTTAAGCGACCAATGCTTCCTCTGTTGCCTGATTTTCTCCTAATATGTTTTATCTCCACTGTTGTTTTTTTTACTATAGTCTCTAATGACGCTGATGTACATCATTACAAAGGTAGAACGGTTATGAATGAAAAAGAGCGTTATGAAGCTATTCGGCATTGTCGGTATGTAGACGAGGTTATAAATGATGCACCTTGGTCTATAACTAATGATTTTTTACAAAAACATAAGGTAACTAATTACTTACTCTTACTTAAATTATTAGTAGATTTTTTATCAATAGCAATAATAATAATACTAATTCTTTATTGTTTCATTTCTCCAAACACTGTTTTTTGTTCCTGAACTGTCACGTCCCCAATGGTTTTGATAGTTATGTTATGAAGTCAGGTGTTAGAGTGTTCATTACATCGACTGTTAGGGAAACAAGTGTGGCGTAATATCTGTTAAAGATTATGACAGTTATTAATTCTTCTTAGGTTAATGTACATTTCCCGTTGATTGATTATATTGGGCCGAAACTCTCCGTCTCTGCTGGCATATCGACCCCTACAATGGATATCTGAGGGATATAACATGATGTTATTTTTTGGATGATGACTAGCTGTGGAATTCAAAGTGCACATTTCGTCCAGTTTGGGGCTTATCATCTGGACGTATCCTCAGTCCCTATAAGTGATGATGTTTCCTCTGGGTGTCGATCTCATTAGCAGTCGTCGAACCACTTTGGCGTTTGAAGTGATTGATTCAAGGTTCGAGTCCCAGTGAGAACATCTTTACTCATTGGAAATATAGGCGCATCCATGTGACGAGTCCCAAAGAAGACGAAATTTTGATTCTGGATTCCACTGCTAGTCACCATCCCCCAGATGACAATATGACTAGTTATTTAGTATTTTGCTGTAATTCATCGAAGTTGCACTCAATCTGTTGGACAGATACGTGCATTTGTATGAAATATATCGCAAATGAATTAACCGTAATAGACTATAACATTAGGTTGTGACTGTTTTATCATTAACTGAAAAGTGTATGAATTGTTTATAGATGTACTTCAGTGACTCAGGGATTGACTTGCTACCAGGGAATAATCTCGTTGACTTAGAATATGCAGACGATATAGTCCTTCTAGGCGAGGACGCTGACAAAATTCAGTGTTCTGAACACCTTGAGCTGCAATCTACGAATGTTTGCCATGCGATTCGCCGCCCTCCCGCCAAATGTAAGATGATGTTCCTGGACTGGAATACATTGACTCTTAGTTTACAAATAGGGAGTGAAGTGGTAGAGGACATTGACTGCTTTACTTATTCGGGAAGTACCATCAGCTCCAACAGGTTGATCTTTGACGAAATTTCAGTACGGATACAGAGGGCTAGTTTCGCATATGCCAGTTTACACCGTCTGTGGTGTAGACGTGATGTCCGGCTGTCGACCAAAGGGCGGGTGTACTGCTCATCAGTCCGCTCCGTCCTCCTTTATGGCTGTGAGACCTGGCCATTGAGAGTGGAAGACATGAGAAGATTAGCTGTCTTTGATCATAGGTACCTGCGTTCTATCTCCCGTGTAAAGTGGTATAATAAGGTGAGCTACTGCTACTGGATAAGGAGGGGAAATCAATCGACGAGGCTGTGAAATTACATCAACTGAGATGGTTAGGACATGTGTTACGTATGTCTAATCATCGCCTTCCTCGATAACGGGCAATGTTAGCTGACATGCGATCAGTCTGGAAAAGAGCTAGCGGCAGTCAAACCAAAACATGGCACCAGTCAGTGAAATCCACAACAGTTTATTTAAGTCGCGTAAGAAGATGTAGACTTCCTGGTTTGGGTCCTCGGGACGGTAAAAACCAATGGTTGGAAATAATTGGTGATATGGCTTGAAATCGTTTTCAATGGCGCAGATGCATCCATTCCTTGTGACTTATGATTTCCAATGAGACTTTTTTTGTTCTTCGTTATTACTATTCCTTTGTCTCACACCTCTGTTTACTGTCTCTATTATGCATTTCTTCTACTTTCTTCTGTTGTTTTGTGTGCTACAAGGAGGGAGTGTGGCGACTTGAACTGGTGCACATTGGTGCAAAGTTCTATGTAGAAAACAGACAGACAGAATGTATTGTTGATATTTTTGGAGCAGATTTCAACAGAAGAACCAGGAGTTTTAAATGTTACACAAATAACTGTTATCACTGTGAATTTCGTTATATAGCGACATCACTGAGAGGAACATTGAAAACCATGAAACTATTGGACATCCATCTCGTCACGTTTTTTCATCTAACCGCGACGAAACTAAAACTTTAAAACTGAGGTTTGAATATAGCAAAAATTGTCATTTAGACAATTAGAAGAGGAAAAAGATTGAAAAAGGGATATTCTTTTCAATAACTTCCTCATCAGGTTCTAAAATTTTATACGTATATTGTTTAGAGAGTAATTGTTAGTGACAACACATGTTTATAAAATGATATTTCCAGTTGTTGAGATCAGTAGATTACAGTTGGAAAGCACGTGTAAATTATAATCTGCATAAGGTGAGTATCAGATAGAATTAAGAAGACAATTAATAAAACAATTATAGATAGTTAAAATAACAATAATTACTAGTAAAAGGCGGTTTGGAGACAAGGGAAAATTGTCAAATTTTCACAAACATGTAGTGATGGTCAAGGAAAAGAAAGCGGTTGTAGGAATTCCTTCATTGACAACAACTTTAGCTTCTTCAGGTGGATTCTGATAGCTTCAGGCATATTTAAAAGACAAACTTGTAAGGTAAAATTAAAGCTAGTTAGAATACAGCTGACAGCTTTAAATGTCTTGTTAACATCGAATTTATGTTCAGCATCTACAAGTGTAAGCTAAAACGGAGCTTCGAATAGACTGTGTGTGTGTGTGTGTGTCTGTTGCTTAACGTTGCAGGAAGATGTTCAGAAATCTGACGATTAACATGTCTAATTGTTCACTCAATGTAACTAGCTCCACAGGTTCAGTCAAACAGGTAGATACACGTAGAGGAGACAAAGTTAGGTAGTTGATCCTCATTCCCTGAAAGTAAAATTGGAGGGATTTTGAAAAGACAGTGTAGTTCTGCTGCACTAACTGCTACTTCTAATGTCCTTTTTAGGCGTTCTGTTATTATTTCACTGATGTGATCACCATGGAACTTTAGGTTTAAGAATAAGGGTTTCTTCTAAGCTGTTGATATACTAGTTCGCTTTGTGGGGAAATTCAGTCATACTGTAAATATTATATATATATATATATATTATATATATATATATATATATATATATAACTGTGGGACTGGATTAGGTAGGTATCGAAAGGGATATTCTCCTCTGAATCTTTCTGTCTCCTGAATTGGGATTTTCTGGGAGGGGTGGGAAATCCTCCCCCGTCGTTTTTCCCAAATGTATTGGGTACTTTTGCTTGTAACCTACCATCCGATCATTAACTAACTTTCCTTTTCTTTCCTACTGAGTCTATTTTTAAACAACTATTTACACATAAAGTATGAATATATTTTAATAGTTTACACACAATGATAAGTTTTGTTATTGGTAATATTTTACTGATATTAACTATTTACACATTGTTTCGGGTCATTAGGCACAAAGGAACATACAATTACCGAGTATTGAAATAACAAAAGAGTCATTGTCTGTTTTTTTGTATCCTCACAATAATTCAGTTTAATGTTATGCTTTGATCTTAAATTAATGGTTTGTTACAATTACAATCTTACTACTGAACAATAAGACGTGGGCGATACACTACACTGTCTCGACAAAGAAACGAAAATAGGTGAAAAATAGTTACAACTGTGTACGGTCAATGAGTGGAGCACTAATAACAAAGTGAAATTAATGATAAACAATGAGAGAACAGCCTTCAAAACGATGGATATATATTAAGAATAGCGGCAAAGGAACTTGAAAATGTTCCATTGAGATGTCGAAAAAGAGTACTCGTTAAATACTTACTTTACTTTACTTTACTTCGGCTATCTCCTACGGGAGGATGAGCCGGCTTCATGAACGTCTCGAATCATCGCTGCCCAGGCGCGGCAATTTGTAAGAGAGTTCATGAAGTTTCATGGGAATTTGGTACGAGTGATGTCCCCAGAATCGCTCGGCCTTTTGTTTGAGAGTGCAGCTCTAGCCTTTACACAACCAAGTGTGACCTACAAGGCAGTAGGAGTGGAGCAGGGAGTCCACTATCCATTGGCAGCCGGTGACCGGAGTTCGGTTCATACGCCTTTTTGAATTTGGCCAGACATCCAGGACATCCAACAAGCCCTTTGTCCATACATCTGCCGGTGAGCTCCAGTGAGCTTCATACGCCAGTCGTTGGAGGTTTGGAATCAGGGTTTAGCCATCTCCCCTAGACCGTCATCCAATGGACAGTCAACCCGGTGGAGAGCGCCGGGCATCCGATTTTGCCCTCTCACTTTGGTGAAAAACACCCCCGCCACGTGAAGGCAGTGAGTAGGACTTCCTCAGGAGAGGCTATGTAAGACGCCCGGTCATATGGGAGCATTTCAAGAGGTGTACGGAGGGGTGGCCAACCCGCGGCGCAAGACACCCACCCCCGACCATCCTGAGGCTTTGGAGGCCTCGTTAAATACAATTATATTAAGAGTTTCTAACATTTCGCTTGGTCACTAAGGTGTATAACCAATTTTATTTTGTCTAAGCTTAGTCTGGTTAGTGAAGCGCATTTTACGGTTCTTGAGCTGGCTGGAAGGTTGGCGGTCGCCGTCCCTTGGGAAATTTGAGTCCTCACCATTCAGTGTTACAGTGGAATGTGTTAACTCCTTTCAAGGAACCTCAGCTTCATTCTCTTGATGTCTTAGGAACAGTAATTTTTGTTTCTTGTTTTAGAAGTGGGATGCATACGACTTCAATACCTTCCGTTCTAGATCTAATATATAAAAAAAACACTTAAGGAGTTATTAGAAAGCGAAAATCATGATTGACGAATTGCTTGTTGGCATTCTTTTGATACCTGATTCCCCATAAGGTTGTCTGTATGCTCTTGCGAAAATTCTAGGCGTCGGTTTCTTACGAAAGTTCACCTTCAAATGTCAAAGTCCAAGTGCCATTTAATCGGTGATTAATATATTAACATCACTTATAAGTCACCTTTTATGTTATTAGTTTCGCTACACTGAGCAGTATTCTTCTTCTGATACCTACACTCGTACGTTATCTGTCTGTCTGTCTG